GAAAGAAAAAAAGTAGAGAGATAGAGTAGAGAGAGATAGTAATAAAGGGCAAAAATGTCCAAGGGGGGCGGTGACTAGTAATAAGGGGGGCGGTGAATAGTAATGCCCTTTTTTTAAGGTGCTTTAAAAACTCCGATTTTGTACTAAATTGTAAATAAATTTCAATTTTTTTAAGTTTGTCATTCAAATTTCGGACTTTTTAATTGTGTTGCATATTAAGTTCCGATTGGTTTTCCGACATCCTCTTTGCTGATGGTTTTTTATGTCTTAAAACATACATATATTCATTTTCACTTCATAATTTCTTCCTTTCTTCCACACTCCCCAATTCCCAATTTGTTTTTCCTTCTGCAACTCTAAATTAAGATTGTGGAATGCTTGTTGTTCTCATTGCTTCTTCTGTTGATATTGGCTCTCAATTTTTCCAGCTCCTCAAATTGGGGGATGAAAAAACTCAATTTAGGGTTGCAAAAGGAAAAATTTGGGAATTGAAGAGTGTGTAAGAAAGGAAGAAATTATGAAGTGGAAATGTATATGTGTGTGTTTAAAATATAAATAGCCACGTCGATTTGTTGCTGGGATATATCATCTGTTCGCCGGACACATCAACAATGAGGAGGTCAGAAAACCAATAGAAGCTTAACATGCAACACAATTAAAAAGTTGAGGATTTAATGGTAAATTTAGAAAAGTTTGAGTTTTATTTACAATTTAGTAAAAAGTCAGGTTTTTTTGAAGCAATTTGGCCTTCTTTTAAGTACCTTTTTTTCAAAGATAATTATTAAGGTAGTTGCATTAAATTGATAATTACTCTAACTTAATGGAATTTAACTTTTGTAAATTCCAGAGAACTTGAACAACATCCACACGTCACGCCATCTCTCTCTCTCTCTCTCTCTCTCTCTCTCTCTCTCTCTCTCTCTCTCTCTCTCTCTCTCTCTCTGCTTGGTTGGCTGAAGTATCCCACGGTGAAAAGAGTTAAATACTCAAGTATGACGTCATCCTTTGAGTCTCATCATTGTGGCATGGTTGGCTGAAATGTGTTAAATGCTCCTTTTGAGTCTCTCATGCCTCGGTTGGCTGAAGGATCTCGCGCCATCCCCGACTTGACCTATGACCCCTGAGGGCAAGGTTTGGACTTTCGTTGCGTCGTGAGGTACTACGTCATGCTATGGAGTCGCATAGACAACCATGACTACGAGCGCCTCCTTCACGGGGAAGCTCTTGGTGGAGACGGCTACAACTTGTTAGGGGACGGTGTGACCATTCGGGGTACGGACGATGCGACAGTTTCGGGATTGAATTTATTCAATGTTTTTTTATAGTTTATGTTTAGTATATTAGTTTTCTTTTTAATGAGAAAATTGATATGAGGCGACAAATGAACAATTTTTATTTTTTTTGCTAATTATTGTTTATAATGTTTTTGATATTAATATTAAAATTTTCTGTTTTGTTAGTACTTTATAATAGGATATTTGGTTTTTGTCATAATTCTTATTAGCTCCGTCGTCAGCACAAAATGGTGAGAAATTCTTATTTGTCGAGGATGTTTATTTTCCATAATGTTTTGGTGGAGCTTACTGAAAAAGGTTTCTCATGTGAGCCTACAGACTTGATGGTACTAATGTTAGATAAAAAGATTAGACCAAACATCAATCTCTCCAGTGATGTTGTCTGATTGTTGTTCAAGAGCTGCATGAGAAGTCTAAATACCAGCACTTATTCAAAAGGAAGGTGAGAGATGGTTTGAACACAAAAATCTCCATGGACCCTTGTGTGTCTGGCATTCCTTATGGGGTGTCTCAGTTGTTAAACTTCAACTCTCAATAGGTCATACGGGTCAAGGACTTATTAGAAGAAGACAGAAGTAGATATGTGGAGCTGGTTAGGAATAACTTTTTTTATGCTGAGAGTAAGACTATTCATGCAATCAAAACTCTTAACATTGAGCAGAAGGATAGACGAACCTGCACAGGGGCTTCAAGTGGAAATTTCTCCGTGGCTAGTGCATATTCTAAGTTGACTATTGTGAATCTTCTTACTTTGGATCTAGTTGAAGGTAGCAATGCTTCAAAAAAAGAATAAAGTATCTAGAAGTAAGTGTTGTATACTTGACATATAGGAAAAATTAAAGCATTTTTGTTGGAAATGCTTCATAAGGACTTTGCCTGTTAGCATCAATTTAAGAAGCAAAAGAGTTTTTCTTGACACTATTTGCCACTGTTGTGGGGAGAGTGAGGAGATATTGAACACATATTGTTTCACTGCAACAAGGCTCTTCAAGTGTGGAATTCATCTCCCCTCGATTGGGAGAATCTTCACTCCAATGCTAGCAGCCTCAAAAGTTGGTGGTGGTGGACCTCCTCCCATGATCACTCAGATATTTCAGAGGCATGAATACATCTCTCCACATACATCTTATGGTAGCTCTAGAAAACCCCAAACTTTTGGAATTTACAGAAGTTATGGCTACATGTGATGACTATTTGCAATCTCTTTTAAGAAATTGGCTGGAATTTTTTAGTAGGAAGAAGGTGGTGTGATGGTGCTTAGGTTTTAAGGATAATTACGGCTCGGTTCTTTGGTTCATTGGTCGATGTTTCTTTTGTTTTCAGTTTGCTTTTTTTTGGCTTGGTTGTTGTTTTGCTCTTGATTCTTAAGGTCTCAGGTGCATGTGCTCGACTTTGGTCTTGTTTTCAGGTGTCTTTTCCTCTTTGGATATGAGGTTGCTGGTGGTGCGGTTCCTTTTTGTATTTGCTATGTTATTGGGCTTGTTGGTATCTCGGGTTGTAAGACATTTGTTTTCGTTTCTATGTTGAGTTGTTTCTACCGTTTTGAAAAAATAAAAATAAATAAATAGAAAATAAACATCTTTCTAAGAGTCTTGTATTAGTTCAAGTTTTAGTAGTGTAGTAACAAAGGGACACCTCCTTAACATCTAAATAATGAGATTGGTGAAATATAAAGGTGTAAGCTAGAAAACCTGAAATCCAAAATTTGTAGAAGTAGGTAACATTACAAATTTGTAGACTTGGTGTTGTTATCCAATTTTGGCCTCGTCTATTAAGATATTATACGTGGATATTTATTAAATAAAAATAAATAGCAGGTTCTTTTGTCCAATTTATATTGACCGAGTTCTTAGAAGACAAGGTCCGCATCCAGAAACCGTCAGCCCGAGCCGGATATCACAAAGAAGCCGCCTTAACAGACAAAATAATTTTT